CTATGCAGTGGAACGGAAGGAGCCTAAATCGACCATAGGGCGAGTTTCCCCCTCTGTGATGAATCAATAAGAAAAGTTAGTTATGGCACTGGTGGGGAAAGGCTTATGAACGAAAGGGCTTATGACAAGCTTGGCTTATAGCCTCGTATACGGATCTAGATCACAATCTCGATATGGAACGTATGATGTTGGTAGTGTCACTGTCACATCACTTTATAAAAAGACTCTTTATAAGAGGATATGTACCTCTAACATTTCCCATAAATAAACCTTAGGCCCTCCACCTCCAATCCAACTTCATGGAAACTAAGAATTTCAAATTTCAAATTACAATATTTTCTTAAAAACAAACAATATTTTCTCTAAATAACATCTCATTAATTTCCATAATCATATATCTAAACCATTCTTATTCAATATTTAACCATGATTATCAATTTCACCAGAAATGATTCACCTTTCATCAACCTGTCCACCTTTCAAACTTCCATTTAACAGTACAAGAGGTAATGGCAAAGGGCAACAACATACAAGAGAGATACAAATGAGAGATATAATCTTCTCTTCTCAAGTTGCTGCTACCGTGATGGGCGAAGCATCTGCTGCCAATGAACCAAATGATGACAGCAGCCACACTTTCTTCTAGGCATACTCAACATAGAAATTGAATTTCTACTTTGCATTCGGAATGTCAAGGGCCAGATGATCGAGACCATCATTGATCATGGTAAACCCTTTCGTCATCTGAATGATAGTGATTAACCCTTCACTGAAGCATTCCTGCAACAAGTCAAGCATCCTATTATTTTTCTTCTCCATAGCAATAACTAGCGCCTTCTTCACCACTAATTGTAGAGAGAACCCTAACTCAAAAAGATTTAAAATTTTGAAAATACCTAATCGGAGAAAAGACTCTTGCGAACGTGAGACGGTGGAGAATAGCGTTTGCCGTTCAACGATTCGAATTGGTAGCATCGGAGATTCGACGATTTTAAGTTTGAATTAAGAGAGAGCGACAGGCAGACTGGAGTCGTTGGACGGAAAAGAAGTGAATCGAGTGACCAACGACTGGAAACTTTTTTCCCCAAATCCTAATTTAGTTTTTTTATATATGACATGCAATATTACCGAAACCCCCCTATTTTTTAATGTCATCTGTATCAGTCCCATCAGTCCCGGTTTCAGTTCTTGCAGTACATTATAGGTTACATATTTTTGGAATCAGAACCTAGTGAAGGCCGGTAGGAACAGGAATCAAACCTCAGTTATCTGTCGGTTCCAACTGGTTATTCTGCACACCCCTTATTAAAAGCAGCCCAAGTTAGTGGAGGAGGAGATAAACAATTATGAGACATAACTTAAGCAGCTATCACTGTGCCACAACCTCCAAAATCATGGCCACCTAACTGCAAGAGTCAAGACTCTATTAATCCTATCGGGAAAGCCAAGGTCCAAAGATGTTGAATACTCTTAGCAAAACTTGCCAAAAATCCAGCTTTCTATGATTATACGGAGACAAAATATTGGGCTTAGAGAATCAAAGTTATTTATTAGAATCAAGAAATATTTTCTGAAGAAAACATCAAGTGTTTGTATTCAATCTTCAATCATTGAAATAAATCAATTCTTCGTATTTCTTTCTAGAAAAGTTCTTGAAAAACATTTACTAATTATTTCTTATTTGTTTACTTTTTTAGGTAGGGATTTTAGTTCAATTAGAAATTATTTTTACCTTACTTTAAGGTGTGTTTGGTTGAGGGTAATCTCCCATTATTGAGGTAATTAATGTTATCTTATATTACTTGATTAGTCAAATACTATAAAATTTCAATAATCTTCTAAAAATAATAGTAATTACTGTTGGTTATATAGGGGATATAATGTTTTATTATAGGGGATATTATATTAACAAAAAGATATATCATCTTGAAGATTACTAGGAATATTTAGAAAATGTGTTTGGTTGGTTCGAATAAATTAGTGAATAATATGTTTGGTTGGGTTAATAAATGAGTGGGTATATTCTATAGATTACTAAATTTCTCTCCTTTTTAAATATTAATATAATATTATTTTTTAATCATTTCTTTTAACCCCTATATTTGAAATTTTGCTAAACACTCCATCTATATAAAATTATAATTTGTAGAAAAATCACCCCTACCCACCCTAAGCCATCGCCCACAGCCAACCACCACCGCCTATTGCCGCTGATAGCTGATGGAATGACACACTATTGGCTGTATATGGAAAGCCATTTCTAGCCATCGATCACAAATCCATGGCCGTTTCACGGCCAAAGATGTGACCATGAAATGGTGGCCGTGAAACATTTACGGTCATTTCCAATAATGGATCAAAGATCCATGTTTGGAAAATGTCATATCAGTGCATGATCGGCCAGATCTTGTCAGTCGTACATCATTACGGTGACCGACGTTGGCAGCCGATGGTGGTCTAAGGTGGCTGCGAGTAATTTGTTAACTTTTAAACTTTTTTGTAGCTGGGGTATTTTAGCTAATTTCTCAAATATAGGGGGGTTGGGTAATTCCTATTTGGTAGATATTTGAGGGCAATTGTATCCGAAATGGTTTTCAATCCCGTTAATGTTTTAATCCTAGAGATGGAGGAGGGTATCGGATTACCTCCCATATTACCAATAATAAACACTATTTGCAATAAAAGATTCTTGTAATATTTTATTACTTGCAAACCAAACACCAGAATCTTATAAAATGAACGAAGATTACCCCGTTATCTTATATGCCCTCGATCCAAACATAACCATAGGAGGTAATCTGATTATCTTCATTTTCTCTGGTATTTTAAAATTATTTGGTAATCATAATTTTATTACAATGTTATCCCTTATTAATAATTTTTTTGGACAATAATGCCCTTGTTATCTAAACAATTTACAAAAAAATTAATGGACCATTTTATCCTTATATACAAATTTTTTAGGACATAAATACCCCTGGATGATTTTGTTATAAACTAAAGTTTTATATGAGTGAGGTGTTTTAGCAAAATTTCAAATGTAAGGGGTTAAAAATGATTTAAATAAAAATAAAAATATTATATTATTATTTTAAAATAAGGGTAATTTAGTAATCTATATAATATACCCACCAATTTATCCTCCCAATCAAACATATCAATATAACATACCCACCAATTTATTATAATCTAACCAAATATATTTTTCTAAACATTCCTAGTAATCTTAAAGATAATCTATCGTTCTATTAATATAATATTCTGGGAATCAAAGGCACTTTACTAGTATTATGAATATAATATTCTCGGAATCAAAGGCACTATACTAGTATTATGAATAATTCAACCATATAAAGGGTTGTTATGTAATAAGTTATTCATCGTTTTTAAATAAATTTTCGAGTTTCCTTTGGGATTTCTTTGTCGTAGATTCGACATCCCTAAAAAAGCTACATGGTTTTTTTTAACTTAAGCCTTTTTCGCCTTTTTTATTTGTCACTTCGATAAGACAATCTATTCGCCTTTTTTATTTGTCACTTCGATAAGACAATCTAGCCGACTCTTGTTCAAAGTAGATTATTTTTCAGAATCTGATTCAGAGAAGGACATTTAAGTTATCAATATATGGAATAACGATTCTGTCATGCAAAAAGAATAAAGAAATAACCTTTGTAATTTTATATGATTAAAATATAGAGAATCAATTTTGATTTAAATATTTGAATAAAGAGCTTCCATGATCATAGAAAAACAACTTGCCACTTTTGAAAAACTTTTTTTTTTTTTTTTAAAATACCGCAAAGTTTGGTTTAGAATTGAAAAGCTTTGCAAAAATAATGAAGAAAATTATAAATAATTATATAAGTTAAACTTTTTGAAGGATTTGAAATATCACATTTCCTTCATACTAATATCAATAATAAAACATGATACATATAAGAAGAATTAGCCCTATGATAGTAGATACATATAGAGATCCTTCAGAGAAACTAAGTTGGTAAATAGATTTTTCTGTCTGTAACTAGGGGTAGAAAAAAAAAAAACCGTGAAACCAAACTGAACTGGAAAAGCTGTAGGTTTCATTTATGATATCAATGCATATATTTAAGATAAATTTTTTTTTTCCTTAAAAATATTATCTATTATTTTTGGATTTGTAAATATCTGAAATTACATATATGATAACGATGATTAGCAACATTATTGGAAAAATGCTTCATGCCGATTATATCTTAATTTATACATGCTCCAATAGTATAAATTTATCACAAATCTTTGTTTTTGTAACAGGATACCAATGCATATATTCAAGGTTTTTTTTCCTTTTTATCCTTAAGAATACTACTTTATTCTTTTTTGATTTGAATCTACATACATGACAATAATGATCAGGAACGTTATTTTCCAAATGGTTCTCATAGTCTCAACTTCTAAGTGTTCCAGATAAAATTTGTCACGAGTCTTTAAGTTATACATGTGTGGTTTAAATTTATCAACCATAGCTATCTAAAAGCTCAAGCCAGAGGGGCCCTTATGTCAGGATTGGAACTTGTGAGCTTTAGCTTTAATTTCATGGTAAGTTATCATTTTACTAGAAAGCCTAAACTAGTGGGCATTGACTCAATATCATATTTAATCCAATAACTAGTAGCATGGCAGACCCAACAAACAAATCGTTACTATTGAACCTAGAAAAAATTAGAAATGAAAGCAATGGTTGGAGTTCCATTTACAGAATATAATCCATGACTAGATGTAATGAATGTGATATTGTTACTGCACACACGTACGGTCTCTGGTAATTAAGTTGAGATTCTGATTTATCCTTGAGAATAAAGTTATTCAAGATGTTAATGATGACGAAGAATATGTACTAGAAGAATAATCTAAAGTATGCCATATCACAAAGTTAAATTCTTTTCTAATAAAGATACGTAGATAATTTCTCCAATCTCATGCTATAAATACAGGACTACATGAGAAGGAAAATTATCATCAAGAGTATTTAGTACAACAGATAACAAGATGGCTTCTGCTCAAGTTGCACTTCCACAAAACTTTCATGCCATTATTAAAGATGCAGACTCAGAGATTGACACCTCCTCTACGGAGAAGGTGTTTAAACAGCTCCAGTCTGGAGTTTTCTTGAAGAATAACAAACAGGTAAAGGGTCCATCTTATTGTCGTGGTTGTTCTTATCACAGTTTAGTAATATATAACTAAATTTTAACTTCAAGAATAGTACGTAATATTTTGAGAAATATTTACAAGGGACTGTATTATCACGCCACCTGGTTAACGTGGTCAGACTGTCCAATAGCATAATAACTACTCTCTACTATTCATCAATAACCAACCATCCACAACCACGTTGGGTGGTTATGGAAACTAACTCTATGTCATTATACTATTAGATGGTCTTACCATGTCAATCAAGTGGAGTAAGTAAGACTGTCCCATCTAAAATTGTCTCTAATATTTTTCATATTATTATTGCAGAAGTGTACGTATGACCAGAGCTCTAATGCGACCAACTTCCAGCTATTTGCAAAGGATCTCATATACGAAGGGGGAGATTGGATATGGGACACAGACAGCGGTTCGGGAGTGGAAGTGGCTGAACTAGAGAGTGGAACAAGTATCAAGGTAACAGGGAATTTCGACACAAGTAAACTATCTCCAGCCAAGACCTATGCTGTTTCTTTCACTATAAAGATGAAGAACGACGCCGAGGGATGGGAAAGTCCCGTGACCATGGAATTTGATCTCCCAACTGGAGTAATTAAAAAAATTACAAAAAATCTGAGTCAACAACGTTCCGAAGTTTGGGTAAAACACACAATTGGAGATTTCACCGTTCCTAGTAATGGTATGTCTGGAGTTATGAAGATCTTTTTGTCTTCATCGGATGATAAGAAGAAGAAGGGAATTGTTATCAGGGAAATCGACATTACAGCCAAATAGAAATAAGTATGAGGATAATCGAAGAATGGACGTTTGCAGAACTAAGTTTCTAGACATGTAATGAATAAAATAATTTAGTTCTCATGCGTCAAATATAAGTAGTAGTACTAGTAGCGGTCTATATGACTGCGAATAAATAAAAACGTATGGGACTTTTGTATAATAATCTATGGAATAATCAAGAGTCTCAGTTTATATAAATATGCTCTACTTTCTCATTATCCTTTTGAAATCTAAGCTTTTCAAAACTGTAGACCGTAAATTTGCTATTGCATCAGAGCAAATATCATCCCATCAAGCAGCTTATTAATCCCAAATATTACTGTTGAGTCAAAGGCCAAAAGTTCAAATCCTCATATTTTTAACTGGACAACAAAAATAATCCAAGTTTCATGTGACGAGGTCTAATCCCTAAATACTAGCTTTAGTTTTTAGGTATAATGGCAACTTAAGACAGTTGAGGTGGTACAATATTTGTGTATAAAATACGTAGGTGACAAAAAAGAATCTCATGTATATATCCTTTCTGAATAAGGTAATTAAAAGATTAAACTCATGATAATTAAACACATCCTGCCATTTTATATAAGGAATAATTTAATGCGTGTCTTTACATAAGGAATTTTTCCAAATCGATCTCTCATTCCCGCAGGAAAATTGGGAAATCACGAAGGACGGACTTCTGCTATTGCCTTCACAGAAGTTTGAGGTAAAAGGGAAAATCCATGCATCAAACTCCAGGACTTTATACAGCGTCGCATTTAGCATAAAGATGAAGGACAATGCTTACGGATGGTAAGCTCTGGTGAACTTGAAACTCGTCCTTCCGAACAGTACTCAGACAATACGTCAAGAATGTTTAGCGAAAGAGCTGAAAAATGAAGTTATGCATATCCATGTTGGCTATTTTAAGAACTCGTTGCATGTGTTGAAGTATAAATCTTTTAGTAGAGGATGAAGATGTCACGGCACAAGAAAAGGAAGGTTGTGGTGAGAAGATGGGTGCAGAGGCTTGTAAAAACTTCTGGATTAACATAAATATTAATTTTACTGGTTTATCTGGTATTTAACCAATTTGATTAACAAAGAATTAATGGGTTTGATCGATTTGATTAGTGTGGTTTGTGTCATGAATATTCCTAGTCTTGAGCCAATTTAATGGCATGATAAATTTGAAGACAACATTGTCGATGCTTATTCAATACAGATAATTCATTTTTGAGAAGCTAATTTATCTTTTTTGATAATAACATTCAAGTTTGCCCATTATAAGGAACATTGATCCTAGAGGAATCCAAAAATACTATCTGTGTTTGTTGTGAATCATGGAAAAATTAAGAATCTAATTCATCCTTTTGAAATAATTAGGTGATTTAAGATTCTCATCTCATGATAGTGAGAAAAAAAAAATGTCATTTTGTAGAAGGAATAGTTTAATGTATGTCCTATAAATAATTGGAGTCCATTGGTAACGAAGATCATCAATAAGAGATAGTGATAAAGAGAAGGGTTGGTCACGAGATGGCTTCAATTCAAGATAAGCTCCCTCACAACTTCGATGCCATTGTTAAAGATGCAGACTGACAGATTGACATGTCCTCGGACAAGCTAATTGATCAGCTTCAAGCAGCTGGAATCATCTTGAACCAAAACAAACTGGCAAGTGATACCTTCTCACAAACGTTACTTATATCATCTTCCAATAATTAACTTCCAATATTAATACTCTGACACGAAGTTTGGCGTAGGAGTAAATGTCATCGGAAAACAACAATTTTCTTGTAGTGATTAAAAGTACTTTACATTAAAAAAGTTTTGGGTTGACAAGATATCCGGTGCCAACTGCTTCGATTTTTTTCGAGGGAGTCTCTCATTCTCTCATTCCCGCAGGGAAAGTGGTTATTCACCGCAGAGGGGGCTGAACTATTACCTTCATAGAAGTTTTGAGGCAAAAAGCATAATCAACGCTTCAAAGCTCACTCCAATAAATTTTTGCCCTCTAATGGCTTTTTAATGCGTCTCACTTATCATAAAGATGAAGAAATGTGCTTTCGGATGGGAAGTTCCGGTGAACCTGGAACTCCTCGTCCCAGGCTGTCCCAAGCAAGAAAGCAAGAAATGTTTGGCAGAACTGAAACCAGAGACTGTTGTGAAGATCCCAATTGGCATGTTTAACACCTTCTCTGGCATGCCTGCGCGTGGCAACATAGAATTCTCTATGTACGAATTCGGTACTCATCTGAAGGCAGGACTCCTCGTCCTGGGAGCCATCTTTGAACCAGTTTTAAAGGTTGCAGACAAGGAATAATTTAGTTCGCATGTGTGGCAAATAGTACTTGTAAGGATAACCTCTCACTAGCTGTATATGTCTATGAAATAAAGTGAGGTTACAACTATGTGATAATAAATTTGCAGTAATAAAGCAAGAGTGCTTTAGTTTCTCAATTCTATTTTGAATTTAGCTTTATTTTGCAACAAACAATCAGTAAACATGGATGAACAGTTTTGCAAACAATATCTTTATGCAAAGGACATGTATAATTAAAGAGAGAAGCAGCAACAGCATTAAAATCTACAAATCGCCTAAATACATTCTTCATTTCTTGGTGGGCTGAGAATCTGATTTATCCTTTTGGACGAGGTGCAACAAGATGATGTTGATAAAGAACTTTATGGCATGTAAAAGGAATAATAACGTAATTTATGCCTTACAACAGAATAAATCTTTTCTTTTTCTAATAAAGATGTGTAGAGAATCATTTTTGAGTTGCTGATAAGAATAACAGCTTTACTAAGCACTCAACTATTGTTTAATTTGACCCTTTTCATGCTATAAAACCAGGACTGAATGGGGAGCCAAGATGGTCATTAAAAGATGGGAGTTGGGTGGTCAGAAGAAGATCCTTTTTCACAGACACAATCAAGTCAAGAAGTTCAAGTTTCTCACACCAAATCCCAGGATGTAGTGGAGAAAACAAATGGGATTAAACTCCCACACAACTATGAAGCCATTCTTAAAGAGGCAGACTCACCGATCGACAAGTCCTCCCCCAACAAGATAAAAGATCAGCTTTACTCTGGAGTTTTCTTAAATGGAAAGAAAAAGGCAAGTTCCCATCTCACAAACTGTATTTATATATCCCTATTATCCTTACTATTAACATATATAACAATTACAGAAGTATTGGGTTAACAACGAATCCGGAAGCAACAGCTTCATGCTGTTTGCTAGGGATCTTTCAGTCACTTGGGGAGATGACCAACGTTACTGGAAGTGGACTTCCCTGAAAGAGACAAGGTAAATACAATAGAGTTAATATCATGTATGCCATCTCAAAGAGGTTTCTACTACTTTCTGGGAACACTGATATAGATGAAACATGTGAAAATGTCAATAAAAGATTTCGTATCACCTAACTTGTGCAAGAACATTTGTTAAATCAATGGATGAGTTTACTGGATAATAATTCTCCTGATTGTAAGTTTTCTGGCAGTGATGTTTTTGTGGATGTGGCTGAACTATTAAACGTGTGCTGGCTGGAGATAAAGGTGAGATTCGAGACAACGAAGCTCACTCCGAGGGCTTTGTATGAAGTTTTGTTTGTCATAATGTTGAAGGAAGGAGCTTATGGATGGGATGCTCCAGTGAACCTGAGACTCGTACTGCCAAACAGAATCAAGATAGAGCACAAAGAAAATTTGAACATGAAGCCAAGAAATCAATGGATAGAGATCCCGGTTGGCGAGTTCAGAACTTTGCCGGAGAGGGCTGGGGAGATGGTCATCTCTATGTATGAAATCGAGGACGGGAAATGGAAAAAAGGACTTGTCATCAAAGGGATCGTCATTCGGCCAGTAAACTAAGTGTGGGGATAATTTCAACGTTTACACAACTGAGTTTAACAAAGTTTCAGGTCGATCAATAAATTTATTTACATGTTCAGTATAGGTGAAAATAATCAGAAGCATCATTGTGAGGCTCCTTCGTAATTGTCTCACAACTTATCTCTAGCTTCTCAATTCTGCTTTGAAACCTGAGCTTGTTTCCTAAGCATTCTAGTGTGCATGCAGGATTAGACTCCTCTCCTACTATGAGCTCTTCCGAACTTTTACAGATCTAGTGACAGATGTATACTAATGAGCATTTGTGGTTAAAATTTATTTCTTGTTATTAATTTCTAAACCACTGGAGTCTTGTATTTTGTTCATGTAAAGCTCGGATCAGTAGGAAATCATGAACCGTGCACGCACACGTGTGTGTGTGTGTGTGTGAGAGAGAGAGAGAGAGAGAGAGATGATCTTTATCTGTTGAAATAACTTCTTATGGTTAACATTAGAATGATGATAAAAGACAGTTCAAGAAATCCAACCCCCATTTGACTAATATAGGCCTAACCAAGATCAGAAAATTAATTATTCAATGTTTGGAATGTACAAATGTCCACCCTGTTTGGTAAATTTCTTGGCAATTATCAGCACTCTTTGTTTAAAGTATTAAGAAAAAAACAGGGGGGTTCTTAATGGAAAATCGCAAACAGTATCATAAATTCTTAAGAAATAAATAGATGAAACAATTTAAAGCACAATTGACACCACCTGCTAGCTGCAAGGAGCCTTCCAATAAAGCTGGAAGAACAGAAAAAAAAAAAAAAAAGAAATCTTGCGCCTTTCAAATGTCTGTGTGGTAATTTTCAGGCTTATACCAGGGTGAGAAATCAATTCCGTTAGTCTTCAGTTTCTCTGTTGCAGGTGCAATCCTCTCCAAAAGCTGCATGTTCATGACAAATAAGATGTTCAGATAATATCAGCTCACTTAATGAAATCGTATTCAAACACACAATTGGAAATAAACGTTTTCAATAACTTCTCGCAGAACCTGTGCTCATTATTTGTCAAATATTTGACAGTGGAAAAAAGCAAATACAGCTCTCAGTTTTTACTTTTTGTTTCTCGAGAATATATAACATTGTAAAGTAAGTCACTGTAGTATAAAGCATAAATCATAGTATTTCAGCTTAAGCACGGAGAGTTGTTGTGAGAGAAGCCACATCAAAACGAGGGAGACAGAAAGGAAGTTTAATTAATATGATACCAGATTTCAGAAAAAGAGAACAATAAAGTCAAACCTTAGCATGCAGTACACCATTGGATACCAAAACAGATCTGTCAAACACACAAAATTTTCCACCATCCATGCGAGTAACTGCCCCACCAGCCTCTTCAACTATCTGCTTACAAGGGAATAAAAAAAATGTGCTTAATAAATGAAACTTGAATTCAGAAAACCTTAGTCTCTCTAAGAATGATCTTTTGCTATTATAGTGAGCTAATAATATTTATGCATCGTGCTCATGATTCTAGTTTACATCAATATTTATTCTTCAGAAAGAACATAACAAATGACTTGTTATAAACTGTGAACAATCTCTGTTTTGCTCGAGGAAAAATAAGTAAAAAAGAGAAAATATAAATATAAATTTGATCTTTAAGCATAAGTGATTGGGTTCAGAGAAATAAGAATTGTAAGAAAACTTAAATCTGGGGACCTAATAAAGCTGTCGGGATCAACTATCATGCTAACAAGTAGAATGAATGACAGTGCATGAGCAAATAACAGTTCACTTTCCAAAAATGCATTATCAATTCCACAGCAAAAGTATGTCACACTTATCTAGCAAAAGCATTAATAAAGAAAAAAAAAAATTACCAAAACACCTGCAGCCATATCCCACGGCTTTAGACGATATTCCCAATAGCTTTCTACAATCCCTAGAGCTACATGGCACATGTCCACAGCAGCAGCACCAAGTCTTCTCACACCCTTAATTGAGGAAAAGGTGAACAGAAGGGAGGGGGGAGCGGATATGAGTTTCTATAACTTTAGGCAAAAATAGCATCTGTCTAGGGAGGACAAGAAAACAAACACTCAGTACCCGGCTGACATCAGTAAATTCCTTGAATAATTCTATGTTAGTTGCCCATGCATCGTCGTGCTCATATCCAAAGCCAGTCACTAGAAGAGATCGCTCCACCTAGAAACAAGGCAAAGTAAAGCCGTTAAAATTCCAAAAGGCTCAACTTCTAAAAATCATAAAGCATATCAGCATAAATTTTGTCAATTTCTCTAACACTAGACAAAATGATCAACATCAATATCATAAAACATTTACACATAGAAAATCTGTAACAAGTTTTCACAACTTATGCCTCAGGAAGCTCACATGCCTGTAGATGATGTAGTAAGGCACAAGCTCGTTGAGTCACAGAACCATGTGTCATCCATAGAAGGCATATGAATGCATATGGCTATTCATTCTCCAACATCACATGATAATGGAAAATGGATAAACTTATACTAAAGCAATTTGGAGCACATATTACATGTGAAGATCTTGAATTTTCCATTAATCACTCACCTGATCAGTTTGACTCACATGAATTTTTTGGCCATTACAGAATGCTCCTCCACCTGTAATAATGAGATCAAATCCATACATAAATATAAATTTAAATTAAAAAATGCCATTAAGAATTAACAAATGATCATTTTCATACCAGCAGTTGCAGAAAATGTACGGGTATTCCAACACATGGGGCCACCCACAAACTCTACCTGAAAACAGAACCAAAATTGTCATTTTACCTTCTATATCATAAACGAAGTAATCTTTCACGCATAATCATTAATGGGGAGATACTAAAATTCACCACAAGGCTAACACTAGGCCCCTCAATACTTTATTTACTACAGAGAGTCGTTTTACTACATCAGGATTTCATCAATTACCCATCAATTTTATGGTCTTAAATGTTAAGAAATCTCATATATAAAATTTCATGTTGTTGTTTTCTTCCTTCGACAGCCTCATCCATAAGATGCCTCATGTTGAGTACAGTCAAGTCATTTAGAACACTAAAATTGAGCTGCAAATGCAAGATTTTCCTATTTTAACAAAAGGGATATCTAAAATGTTACCTTTACTTACATAAATTTCTTGTAAATAATGTATAGCCTGTCAAGTATAAAATTACAATACCACAAGATGGAAAAATTAATGATCATTCATAGCCACACCCTGGATCTTGTGCTTTCTACCAAAAACTTTCTGTTCTAAAAGCATGTCCTCTTTTTCTCAGTAAGAGACCACTATGTTACAATATCCCTAATCAACTGAGATGTAAGGGAAGTTTAGCTAAAACATTTTAGACTGCTAAACTTGACATTCTAAACAAAACCACAAGTCGGATACAGAAGTACACAGATATCATGTCAAAGAGCAGTCTAAGGAATCATTACCACAGCAGCAGCAGCAGGATTTCCTTGAAATAGAACTCCAACAGAAACGGCAAAGCTAGGATAACCATGTGCAAAATTTGTTGTTCCATCTACACCAATAGAAGAGGTTTGCCAAGTTAAAGTCAATTTTACATAGCCCATTTGCAATAAAGATAACTGTACAAATGCATGATCCAGCACAAATAAATAATGAGGCACATGCATACAATCACTCCAACAGGAACAGTAATCAATTCCAGATTGACCTGCCTACCCTAAACTGACATTTGCCCAATAAACTACTCATTTCACGTTGACCCACTAGTATCCAAATTATGTTAGTTATGGGAAAAGACTCGTACAGTGAAAACAAATTATCACTCACATTTTCTTTTGTAAGAAACAAGGAAAACTTGTATTAAAGCATCTTATACATTCCATTACAAGCTTAACATTATCAAAACAATGAACAATAATAAATACACAGATCAGATAGATTTCATATCAATTATTCATGTCGAATCAACATAACCTTTTCAATTTATATAGCCTGTCTCGTGTTATCTTTCAGTAAATAGTTCATGCCAAGGTTGAACACAATGAATTAAACGGTCATATTTAGGTTGATACATATGTCTGATTATAGCTCTCTTCAAAAGACTTAAAACCCAATTGGTTGACACAAGTCTTCACCCCTAGGGTCAAGGATTCCAGCAGTACTTCAGTACTTGCAAAGAAGTAGTAAATTATAATAGTGTCTGTGACCATATAGAAAAAAAATCATGAAATATCACTCATAAGTTCCAAACAACATCTCGAATATAAATTCCATGAGCTCATGTCTCTCATCCTATGGAAGAGATGTAAGGGTTTAGAGAGACAAACCTAAAGGATCAATACACCAGAGATAATCAGATGCTGTATCTCCTATGATTCCACCCTCTTCTCCAAGAATGAGGTGATCTCCAAAATTCTTTTTCACAACTTCTAATATAGCAGCCTCACTATTTTTATCTGTGCTGCAAGTAAATTTGTTATAAATAAGGTGAATAATGTCTGCGCTAATGTAACGGATAACGCAGTGGGCCCTTCTGACTACTGGCTACCGGACCACATGGCCTGGTATTGTCCCCCCTCAGGGATTTCTTCGCCTCCCACACCACTAACCCATGCCCAAAGGGCTATAGGCAAATGGGAAGCATGTGGTGAAAAAATCCCTTAAGGGGGGGGTGGGGGCGTCTTTTTATGTAACAGATACCGTAGTGGGCCTTTTTGACTACTGGCTACCCGACCGCATGGCCTCATATCGACAAGTATTGTTCCCCCCCCCCCCCCCCCTCCCCCTCTTTTTAAGGGATTTCTTCGCCACCCACACCACTCGAACCCATGCCCAAGGGGCTATAGGCAAATGGGAAGCATGGAAGGATAACGCAGTGGGCCCTTCTGACTACTGGCTACCCGACCACATGTCTCATACACAGCAGGTATTGTCCCCCCCTCTTAAGGGATTTCTTTGCCTCCCACACCACTCAACTCAAGCCCAAGGGGTTATAGGCAAATGGAAGCATGGTGTATACCATTGAGCTAGCTTTCGTTTAATCTGAATCTATGTAAACCCGAAGCCATAGTAAGTGTACCAAATCATTAGTAACGCTACCATACCTATAGTAAATATAAAAAATAATTAAAAATTTTTACTATCATTCTTAAAAATTAAAATCTGCATTTTTTAAAATAAAAACTCATATTTTAATAATAAATTTATATTTTTTTATAATAAAACAAAATCCCTAAATCTAACCCTATTCTTCTTCACTTCAGCCGTTGCTCTTCACTTCTTCCACCCACGCCAATGCTCTCTTGCCAACGATTCATATTTACATTGGAAATATACATAAATGACATAGCAGAGCAGATATATCAATCAATCTAACACGAAAAACAGATGACAAATATAATAATCAATTCACCTATTAAAAATAAAAAATAAAAGTAGTCTGTGATCGTCATTTTGAAGACGCACTGGTTGATGGTTGTGCGGTTGTCGCCACCGTTGACGCGTTGGCTAATGGTTGTGCGGCTGTCGCCACCGTTGACGCACTGATTGGTGGTTGGTCGCAAGGGTGAGCCAGGAGTGGAGTGGAGCCAGGGTGAGCTGGTGTTTGGTTGCGGGATTGTGGGCAAGAGAGCATTGACGTGGGTGGAAGAAGTGAAAAGCAACGACTGAAGTGAAGAAGAATAGGGATTAGCCCAATGTACACACCATGCTTCTCATTTGCCTATAGCCCCTTAGGCATGGGTTCGGTGGTGTGGGAGGCGAAGATCACTTAAGGGGGGGGGGGGGGGGGGGGGGGGGGGGTGGGGGGGTTGGGTTTGGGGGGACAATTTACATAAGACGCCTTTTTAGTGTAACGGAGCGCGAATGGCCTCTTCCCTGCTTCCCATTTGCCTAAGCCCCTTGGGCATAGGTTCGAGTGGTGTGAGAGACGAAGAAACTCTTAAGAAGGGAACAATACCTACCGTATATGAGGCACCTTTTTATGTAACGGATAGCACACGTGGGCCCTTCTGACTACTGCTACCCAGCCGCATGCCCTCATCTACACAGGTATTCCCCCCCCCCCCCCCCCCCCCCCCTTTTTAGGGAGTTTCTAGGGATTTCTTGGCCTCCCACACCACTCGAACCCATGCCCTAGGCAAATGAGAAGCATAGTGTGTACCATTCGGCTAAACCCTATTCTTCTTCACTTCAGTCGTCGCTCTTCACTTCTTCCACCCACGCCAATGCTCTCTTGCCCACAATCCCGCGACCAACCACCAACTCACCCTGGCTCCACTCCACTCCTAGCTCACCCTCTCAACCAACCACCAACCAGCTCGTCAACAGTGGCGACAACCGCACAACCATCAATCAGCGCGCCAACGGTGGCAATAGCCGCACAACCATCAACCAGCGCGTCTTCAAAACGACGACCATAGGCTACTTTTATTTTTTATTTTTTAATATATGAATTGATTATTATATTTGTTATCTGTTTTTTTTGTTTAGATTGATTGATATATCTGCTCTGCTGTGTCATTTGTGTATATTTCCAACGTAAACAGGAACCGTTGGTGAGAGAGCATTGGTGTGGATAAACTGTATCTGCGCTATCCGTTACATAAAAAGGCGCCTTTTTTTTTTTTTTTTCCCCCTTTCTCTCTTCCTTAAGGGATTTCTTCGCCTCCTTAGCCCAATGGTAAACACCATGCTTCCCATTTGCCTGTAACCCCCTAGGCATGGGTTCAAGTGGTGTGGGAGGCGAAGAAATTTCCTACAGGGGGGGGCGCGGCCGGGTAGCCAGTAGTCAGAAGGGCCCACTGCGCTATCCATTATAGCTAATTTCCAGATTCTTACCAACTAAGAGAAGCAAGAAAGGCATATTAATTGAAATAAATTATTAAAGATATATACTAGAAATGGCAATTGAGAGAGAGAAACCCCTACTCGGTCACCAAGTCAGTAAGTCCTTTATATGTAATATTATGAGGCCTATTCACAGCATCCATCACAACCTGGAAAGAAAAATTGTATAGAGTCACTTTCAAAAAGCAATGGCAGCAAGGAGGCATACACTGAAAATATGATCCAGAAAAATATGACTTATTTACTTAAGAATGCATTTTGGTAAAGCTTAAAACCGTTAACAAGCAATATGCATAGTAAATTAGCTGTAACACTCGATCATAGAGGTTAATATTCACTTTTAAGAGAACCACAAANGATGGAGTTACTTTTTGAAATTGAAGATGGGTTAATTTCATGTTATTAAATCTATTTTTTCTTCAAACTGTCAAATATTCTTCTGAAATTACTATAAATTCTTTTAAGAATATATATATACTTCTCAGATTGGCAAATATACTGAAGTATTTTGGTATAAACCTTATGAAAATTGTAAATTAATGTTCCACGATTTTCATTCAAACGTAAGTAAAAATTTAATGAAAATTGTGCATCAATGACTGTTGAGCATCAACCGAAATACAAAAGGAAATAGAAATTTCTACCTAAATCATTACTCTCCTTTTGCTCGCTACTGATATTAACTCTTTTTCCTCTCCATATTCATATTACAATTAGTAAGGCTTTGGAGCTTCATACCGTTTAAGTCTTTTAATCAGCAAGGCTTCCTTTACTTTGGCCTTGTTATACCTGGGAACTTAGGGCTGACGTGGTGTCCAATTAAGTGCGTAAGGTCAAGCCTCGGGAAGAGCCTATTACCCTTCTGACGTAGCTGCTTCGTGTGATCACGGTGGCACCCACAGCTTGGTTCCATCAGAGTAATGGGTGCATGTCAAACCAACGAGGAGTTGTGATGACCCCGCGTGTCCAACCCCTGCAGCAAATCATGTGAATTACTCTAAACAAGGGATTTGCACGGATCATCCCACCAACTTGCAGATTCAATGATGATTATCTCAAGGCATCCCACTATAAAATGGGAGCTCCTCTCTCATCAAAGGGATTCGCGCATTTTTAATCTGGCAGAAAGAAAAAGCTCTTTCTCTCTCTCTAGAAAAGGCAGCCTTCAATACCTTGTATTATCAGTGTAAAGTTAGTCGTCTAAAGCGACCTGATGCTTATCATTAATAAAAACATCAGTGGACGTAGGATTTGCTTCCTCAGCATCCGAACCACTTTAAAACTCCTTTCTCACTGCATTTACTTTCATCTTTCCAAACCATTCACGTGTGTCTTTTAGGGGCCAACTCGACATTTCACACGTGTGTTTCGTTGGTGTCAAAATCACGCATCAACAGTTTGGCGCTAGAGGAAGAGCCGATTTAGTGTTCATCCTTCATTAGGAGAATCTCCAACCTATCGGTCCTACAGCAATAAATGGCCCGCCAACCAGAACTTGAGCAGACCAACTAGGGCGTTGAGGGGCTCTCCCAAGTTCAGGGGGACACCTCTTCTAGAAAACCTTCAGCCCCACAAAATGCTGCAGGAGATATCCCATCAAGTTCACAGCTTGACCTTGTTATCAGAAGCTACCTGGAGAGGTTTGACAATACTCTCCAAACGGTCAACTGAAGGTTGGACCGTTTGGACCAAGGCGTGCCATCCAGGTCAGCTGTGGCGGTGCAACCGCCAAAAACACCTGCAGGTCGCGCGAAAGCGCAGGAACGGGAAATAACCCGTGCTGCTAACACTGTAGCGCGTAGACGAAAAGGAAAACAAGCGGCAAAAAGCAAGCCCACGGGCTCCAAAGGGCCAACGAACTCTGACCGCCTCCTGAGCAGAATGCCAGTCTCGCTGAGACTCGGTGAAAGGAAGCGGCCTGAGCTGTCCCATGCCACATCGTAAGAGCACACCCATAAAAGTGTTGGTCAGGGCGATTCCTATCACCACCAGTGAAACGATCATGATCGTCACTGTGCAAGAGGGTCCCACACTTCGCGGGGCGGTTCTTACCACCGCGAAGGTCGTGAAAATACCCCGCATCCTTCATCGCCATCACACGCCTCTAACCGACATATGTCAAGAGTGGCCGAAACAGCTGGCTGAGGCGAAGAGGAACCCGACCTCCGGACATTCCTCAACCGTAATCGCGAGGGTCAAACTAGCATGGGTGAAAGCAATCCCCAAACGGCTCCATTGCCGCAAATTGAGGAGCTGCAGCGAGCTCTTGACAGACTGCAAGCTCAGCAAAACGAGCAAGGGCAGGTTGCATTAGCGTCCCCATTCTCTACCGAAGTGTTAGCAGCTCCACTCCCACCAGGATTTAGGATGCCCGACATGTAGGCATTTGATGGGAACTCCGACCCGCAGGATCATCTGTATGAATTTAACGACCTGATGGAGCTTCACCAAGTCTCAGATCTAGCCAAATGCTGTTGTTTGGCACTGACCTTAACCTCCCATGCCAAACGGTGGTTCAGGTCGCTACCAGTAGGATCGATCAGTTCATGGCCTTAGATGAGCGCGACGTTCCTGAGGCATTTTCAGGCGAATCGGAAGTTCTCAATGCCTTTGAGCTACCTTAGCAACATAAGGCAGGAAAAGGATGAATCCCTCCAGTCCTACATTGATCGTTTCCACAGAGAGCTCAACAAGGTGGCTCATACTCCTGAAGAGTCTGTTCGGACTCTCGTCATAGCCGGAGTCCATCCACAGATCGACCTGTGGAAAGAATTACAGGCTAAGGACGATGTTTCCCTCACCGGATTCTATGATCTCGCGGAGAAGTACCTCCGAATAGAAAATTCAATGGCGGCACTCCGCCGTCGCGACCACAGCGCTTCGGGTAGTGCACCTGGTCGGTGGGATAATAGAAGAGCTGATCGCAGGGGGGATGTAGACAATCAGCAAAGAGGAAAGAAACCTCGTTACGAGCCCAAAAAGTCCTACGCCCCCGTCCCTCGTCACGATCGCGATAGAAATCAATATACTCCACTGAACGCATCTGTATCAGCTATTCTCGATAAATCTGAGGAGGCCAGCCTGCTTGGAGAGCCCGAGCCCATGAAAACTCCAACAACAGCCAGAAATAATAAAAAATATTGTCTGTATCATCGGGACAATGGGCACCATACCGATGAATGCCGAGCAGCTCTCAAGTAGGCGATTGAAAACTTAATCAAGCAGGGACATTTTAAGGAGTATATTGACGACTCTGCTCCCTCGCAAGAGAAAAATCAGGGGGAATCAAGTAAGAAGCGCCGCAATCAGAAAGGTGTGTGCAACCTCAATTTAATTTTCGGGGGACCGCACTTCGTGGAAAACTCACGAGGTGCCCAAGAAAGTATGCTCGCGAGGCATACCACTAGCCTATTAGAACGATGAGCGTGGCGCGGCGACCACAGAAGCTTCACCGGGAGGAGGAAATTTTCTTCTCCGAAAAAGATGCGGCCTGGCTGCATCAACCTCACGAAGATGCCCTTGTGATAACGTCCCTTATAGGGCACCATAATGTCCAGAGAATGTTAGTGGACAACGGAAGTGCTGTGAACATCCTGTTCGCTTCGACTTTCGAGAGAATGAATTTGGACGAAGCAGACCTGAAGCCTACCTTGTTCCCCCTATATGGTTTCACAGGGGACCACTTGCTCCCCAAGGGTATGATCTCACTCCTAGTCACGTTGGGTGACTTCGACGAAGTGGCCAGAGTAATCGAGTTCTTGGTAGTAGATTGCTCGTCCGCTTTTAATGGGATTTTGGGGTGACCTCTGCTGAGACACTTCAAGGCGGTCACTTCAGTGTACCATTTGAAAATGAAGTTCCCTACCCTGACAGGGATTGGGGAAGTTAGCGGGTCTCAGCGCGCAACCCGGGACTACTGTATGAAAGCAGTTCAGATGGCGTGCAAAGGCAAAGGCACTTCGCGAGACGATCACAACCAGACAATGGCGATCAGCCAGATAGAGCCACAGCCTGGCCCAGCCGAGGATAATATAGATCCTCGCATTCAGGACTGCCCTTCTAGTGGGCCAGTTGAGGACTTGGTTGAAGTACAGGTCAACCACATGAAACCGAGCAGGGTTCTAAGGATTGGTAAAAATCTCAATGCCCAGCTCGCTACCGAACTGACCAGCTTCCTCAAGGAGAACATCGATGTATTCGCATGGTCGCACGCAGACATGGTCGGGATCAGCCCGAATGTTATTTGCCATGCATTAAACATCGACAGTGAAGCCAAGCCAGTTCGCCAAAAGAGGAGAGCGATGGACCTGGAGCGATATGCTGCCCTGAAGCTTAAGGTAGATAACCTCCTTAGAAATGGGTCCATCTGAGAAGCACTCTACCTGACCTGGGTTGCTAACCTAGTTCTAGTAAAGAAGCCTAACGGCAAATGGCGGACCTGCGTCGACTTTACCGATATTAACAAAGCATGTCCGAAAGATAGTTTTCCCCTGCCAAGAATTGACCAGCTTGCGGACGTCACTCCGGGGCACGAGCTGCTAAGTTTTATGAACGCGTACTCGGGTTATAATTAAATTCTGATGTACGAGCCAGACGAAGAGCATACATCTTTTATTACAGATCGGGGACTGTACTGCTACAAAGTTATGCCCTTCGGCCTCAAGAACGCTGGTGCAACTTACTAGCAACTGGTTAACCGGATGTTCTCTGAACAGATAGGCAGATCGATGGAGGTCTACGTAGATGACATGTTGGTAAAATCCCATGTCGCTTCAGATCATGTAGCACATCTTGCTGAGATGTTCAGCATCCTCTGACAGTACCGAATGAAGCTGAACCCCCTCAAATGTTCATTCAGAGTATCCTCGGGAAAGTTTCTAGGGTACATGGTTAACCAGCGGGGTATTGAGATCAACCTCGAAAAAATCCAAGCTCTCCTCGATATGAAGAGTCCGACCAACAAAAAACAGGTTATGAGCTTGAACGAGCGTATAGCGGCACTAAGTCGCTTCATATCAAGGCTAACAAATCGTTGTTTGCCATTCTTCAATGTACTCAGGGCCAATAAGAAGTTTGAATGGACTCCCGAGTGCGAACAGGCCTTCCAGAGAATAAAGGAACACCTCGGAAAGCCACCACTCCTGTCCAAACCGCTCCCACAAGAGATCCTCCTTTTGTACCTGTCTATCTCGCAGTTCGCGGTCAGTACAACTCTTGTTCGGGAAGAGAGTGGAACACAATAGCCAGTGTATTATACGAGCAAGCGTCTATTGGATGCCGAGATGCAGTATCCAAAAATGGAGCGATTAGCCTATGCCCTGTTGATCGCTTCTCGAAAGCTGCGACCTTACTTCCATGCCCATACGGTTCATGTATTGACTAATTACCCACTCAGGCAGGTCCTCCAAAAACCAGAGGCATCGGGAAAGTTGCTCAAGTAGGCCATAGAACTCAGCCAGTTCGATCTCTATTACAAATAGAGAGCAGCTATTAAAGGGCAAGCTGTTGCCGACTTCGTCTCAGAGTTCTCGCATCATCCAGCGAACGAGTCGGAATAGCCCAACGAAGTCATAAAAGAAATTGTTCAAAATCTCTCGATGTAGACCCTCTACATCGATGGATCATCGAACAGAAAGAGGGCTGGGGCAGGCCTTCTCTTGTTGAGTCCCGAAGGGGCCCGCATTCATGGCATTCTCCGGTTCAGTTTCAAAGCTACTAATAATGAGGCCGAGTACGAAGCTCTACTTGCTGGACTCAGGTTGGCTAGGGAAATGGGCGCAACTGCTATCAGCATCCATAGTGACTCCATACTGGTCGTTAACTAGATCTTGGGAGAGTATCAAGCCAAGGAAGATAACATGATCAACTATCTGAAGAAAGCTAAGGCCGCACTCGAGCCATTCAAGCACTTCATAGTCACTCAGATCCCCAAAGAAAACAATTTTGTGGCGGACGCCTTGGCAAGGATAGCCTCATCGTTAGACTCGGATGCACCGAAGAACATTCCTGTTCAATTCATCGAAATCCCAAGTATCAGCCCAAACGAACAGGCCATGAATGTAACAGGTTCGGACTCATGGATGACCCCCATTATTCGCTATCTCAAGGATGGGATCTTGCCTGATGATAAGGTCGAGGCAAGAATTCTACGAACGAGATATGCTCGCTACACTCTCATCAGAGACTAACTATACAGGCAAGGATTTAGTGCCCCTCTCCTCCGATGTGTGACTAGAGAAGAAGCAGATTATATCATGCGGGAGATACATGAAGGGATCTGCGGTAATCACACCGTCGCGCGATCTCTTGCGAACAAGGTTGTTCGTCAGGGGTATTATTGGCCCCGAATCCAAGATGACGCCTACAACTTTGTCAAAAGGTGTAATAAGTGCCAGCGGTTTGTGAATATACCGTGAGCTCCCTCCCACGAGCTGGTAACCATGACTAGCCCCTGGCCTTTCTCTATGTGAGGGATCGATCTTATCAGTCCCATGCCAGTCGGTAAAGGGGGAGTCAAATATGCCATGGTCACGGTAGATTACTTCACCAAATGGGTCGAACCTGAACCGCTAGCCACGATCACGACCAGAAAACTCAAGGACTTCATTTTCAAGAATATTGTGTGCCGTTACAGAATTCCTCATACCCTTATCTTAGATAATGGGAAACAATTCGACAACGAGGAATTCAAACAGTTTTGTGATGAGCTGGTCATCCATAAAAAGTTTGCCTCGGTAGCAAGGCCACAAGCAAATGGCCAGGTTGAAGCTATCTACAAAACCATCAAACACACTCTAAAGGCCAAACTTGGCGCAGCCAAATGGAATTGGGCTAACGACCTCCCCGAAGTCCTATGGGTGTACAGAACAACTCCAAGGACCTCCACCTCAGAAACACCCTTTTCGCTAGCATACGGATGTGAAGCGATGATCACTGTAGAGGTGGGAACTGGTTCACTTTGGAGGGACTTGTATAGTGAGGCCGACAACGAAGCACTTATGAGA